ACGTGTTCTTTGCAAAAATGAATTGGTTTCAGTGGTATCCGGAAAGGGCCCGAATTTAGGGGTCATAACGTAAAACTGTGCCGTAGCAAGTTTCCTTCGAGGTAAATTGATTGTTCAGTTTAAGAGAATCTTAATAGACCGGATCGCTAATTTCTCAAATTTTGACTGGACTTTATTTCTTACTTTCGTTATTTTCCTATCACTTCTGAAAGACAATTTCTTATTTCTTAGCGTATTTTAAAGAAGACTAGGCACAGGTTTAATGTAGTACAGATTTCTTTTCGGAGTTTGGGTTAGTATAGCGTTTTCATATAAATTTTTGGAATGTTAATGAGTATTGTCTGGTGACCGTTATTATAAAATAACGGTTAATTTTAGCGAGCGATATTTGCAAAGTAAACCGAAGATTTTGTTGATGCTCATCTTTTATCGTGCTATCTGTAACTTTTCTCATTCTTTTGTTTTTTTAATATGTTATTACGTTGTTGGCTTTTTGAAGTGCTTTAACATTTTAAATTTTTTTTGTTGTAAGAAATTATTTCTTTCTGTTTTCTTATGCAAAAATAGTTACATTGAAGTTAAACAATTAAAATTTGTTAAAAGCGAGGGATAGAAACGTTTTTTTTTGATGGCTCTCGTTGAGCTGTCAAATACTGGTAAATATATACTTGTTAATCTTGTTATAGAAGCCTTGAACGAAACACAGCCTCGTAATGATAAGTGGCTTTAAAAGCAGTTATAAGCAGTAGGTAATATGAAATATGTTAAAATTGTCTTTCAACAGAAGGGTTAAGAAAAGTGGTTATTTTGCTATGCTTGCAATTTTTCCCTCTAATTTTTCTCCTCTAGCTGATAAAATTAAGGTGTCTTGAAAACCTTATCTGAAGTTGAAGGAAAAGTGTTTGTTGTCGGAGTGGAGCACTACCGAAAATGGTGTGGTGGTTTTTTTTTTGAAAGGAAAAGGTCACGCTAGATGGAAATGACTTTCAATATAAAACAGATTTAGTTAATTTCAAATTGCTGGTTGCATGGTTGTTCCTTAAAGAATAAAAAATTTTGTTGTTTTCTGATTTGGCTCTTCAATGTACAGAACATTAAGGAGTTTTTAAAAGCGATGATTGTTTTTCCATTTTTAGAAGAGCTTTTAGGGGCGAAATGTTTATTTCGGTCATTCCACATTGTCGTGATAGACCGGATGATCCTACTGCCGGCTGGAACACCTCGCTTATACTGATGCTGAAAAGTGAAAATACGACAAAAGCGCAAATTCTGATTACTCGACAGACAAAATAAGATAAAATGAGAAGGACAGCCGAGCAGTATGATCAGATTTGCCCTTGTCAAGCCTTTTTTGTAAGATTATAGACTCGTACTGCGCTGTAACACAGTGTAGTTAATCATCAGCAAAAACTAAATCTTCATTCTTCTTTCTTTTTTTCAAAAATGTGTCACCTGTTTATGTTCAAGTATAGTATTCACAATTTTATTTTAACACTTTTTCCAAGTAAGACTAAGTTGAAAACATCAAAAATCAGTGACTACTTGCTCCAACATTCAGATAAATTTAAAAATATGGATGGAACTAAAAAATAAAACATCATTTAGTTCTATTTTACGTAGCAGTCTTCTTGAACAGTTTAAATATTATTTTATTGAAGATTCATGATGGCAGTAAATGTTCATATACATGATTTATGTATCAAAAAAATTTTACTGGAACAAAGTCAGGGAAGAGTTGGAGTAGGATACAGAGGTAAAATGTTGTTTAGTTGAAGGATTACTATAGAAAAGTATTCTGCTGTATAGCAAATCGGTACAGAAAGGTGAACGTAAAAGAATACACACTCACATAAAAAGTAACACAGAAACAGTGTTGTAATGATTTGAGCATCGCTAAAATACAAACAATTTTAGTCCAGTTGAACCGTCATAAGTACTGAACTGTTGACTGTAGGGGAAAAAGAATTATAATTCTAAAAAGTATCAGATACCGGTAAGTATATCAAAAGAAGCTTATCTTTTGAGTAATCCAGGTTCAAAATATTCACTAAATGTACAAATGCGATGGGCACAGTATTCGGCAACCGCAAAAAAATTTGAACCACCTAAGCGGTTGCTACTTGCCATTTTCGTCTTCGACAAAAATTCCAAAATCGTTTGAAGCATCCAATTTCTGGTGAAAAATTGTCTTTAGCTAAAAAAATTCAGAATACAAAATTTGTATTTCTAGAATGCTTAGATTTAAAGTGCTTATTTCTGTTCAGTAGAAACAGAAACGAAATTTTCGTAGAAAGAGGCAAAAAAAAGTGTACTTGGCAAAGAACTAGCGAAAAAGAAAGTAACTTATGGCTACAATAATTTTATTGAAAATTTTATTGTTCTGGCCAAAAATCACTTTTTTTCAATTTTCTTTTGCTATGAATTATACTGTTAGTAAGGCTTCACAAAATTTTATGGTACGAATAAGTTTCATAACGTGAAACATGATAACTGACTGGTTTTTGGATGATTCTGTTTTACAGTAATAAATGCACTGATCTTTGATCGTGAGATTTCTGATTTAAATGTTCCATGATCGATGCGTCTGATGTGCAGTATTCGAAATAACCTATTACGAAAATCGGGGCGAAATATCACATATATAAGTATTTTCCAGAGTGACGATGAACCGTACAAGATATAAGAGGCTTCTGAAATTTATACATCATTTAACCAGGGAAGCAGCAGTTATGGACGGATGTTACGTTAGCAGATAAGTGTTTAATACATGCCTATTTGAAAGAAGGATAAATCTATTAAACGCCATAAATCCAAAATTAGAAGTACACTGGGTATTGCCACTTGTAGAAGTGAAATAAAGTCAATTGTTAGCAGCAGTTTTTGACGACGTATTTCAGATTTGTTTACCGCCTAAATATTAGAAGATTTTGTTTATCATACATAACTTGTTAACAGCTGTAAAAACGCCAATTTCAGATATTACTTAACAGCGTAGAGAGATGAGCTCATAAAGTCTTTATTCATACAGAAGTATTAGTTTTTACTATGAATGAACATGTTGCCATAGTTTTTCTATTAACAAGCACTCACAGATAGGATTAAAACTCTGCCACAAATTTGTATTAATTCGCGAAAATGTATAAAAAGTAGTTGTCACGAGATGGTTAAAAGAAGAGTTGCGAGAGATATCTCAGTTCTTGTCACATATTGATTATGAAATAGTAGTATACTCAAAGTTTAAGTAAAAGCAATTTTTAATTTTATGAAAAGATTTAGTGGTTAGATTTGACTCTTTTGCCGTTTATTAGTATGACAAAAATTTTTACGTTTGAATTCTTGGTAATTTGAAAAACCCGAAATGTCAGAATAGTGGCTACTGCATAAAATAGGGCCATTGATGAGAAGTTTAACGTTCCAAATTCATCCCCAGCCGATTCCAGCACAGAACAAAGAGAATCAGTTTTAGAGTTGCTATAGTAGGATGAGACATACGCCAATGTGATCCATACCTTAAATTAGCATTAAGCATTGTTAAACGCTTACTGAACAGATCAAAAAACAGTTTAGTGTTTCACGTCCTATGACTACGAAAAAAATGTAAGACAAACTAAAACATTATTGGCACTGTCTGCAAGAAAAAACCTCATATTTTGAATTATGTTCATCTGCTTACATAACCAAACTATTTTCTGAGAATTAATGTTCTAGCAAAATTGATCAAAAAATTTTTCTCTAAATAAAGTGGAAAGAAAAGAAAATAATTTAGAAAAAAAAAAGTAATGTTTGTTCTATAAAGGGAAGCAAAATTTTGCAGTAAGAAACTTTTAAGATTTCTTTAAGTCAAATTTGAAGTGTTTTTAAAACAATTCTGAAAACACTTTTAATCGGAAATGCTTACTGCGCATAATATCCATCCGGCAACACCGAATGCAACCTTTTTGTTGAAACGCCAATAACGCCTATAGAGTACCGGATGAAATGCTGCAATTGTCAGCTCCAACGATAGCAGAAAATTTGTAAATACCGGTAATTCAGCTAAAAAAGAAAAAAAAGCATCAGAATTTTTGAACATAATTTTTAATTCGATCAGTTTATACAGTTTCTGTTTAATTACCTTTTAATTTTACTGTGCTTTACAACAGCGATGCGTAAAGCACCAAATGTAAACATCAATCTGTTTATCAAAGAACAACTCCTAAGATATTTTAATGTCAATTAAATTTGCAAAAAAATACAACTGTAAAAAAATTTTTTGGAAAAATACAATTGATACAATTTTTTTTTTTTTGCGAAATTGACAAAAATTTATCATCAGTAGTAAGCAGAAATTTTTTATAGTTTACAATTGTTAAACGAATGTATAATACGCAGTTTTACTGTGAATAACCGTTGTGCTCACTGGCCAATGTATGTAAAATTTGTTAGACTTAAGTGTTACTGTTGTATCAAAGGTATACTATGTTTAAATCATAAAAGTATTAATTTTTTTATACAATCAAAAAAGAATTGATTTTTTTTCTTTATTTTTCTTTTTACAAAGTTGTAATTATAAATCGTTCAATAAGATGATTTTTTTTCCAAAGTAACAGCAACTCTTTTGTTATTTTTTTTTTGATTTCATTAAAAAATCAAACGTGATTGTTCAAAAAAAAATATTGATTATTATTCATATAAATAATAAAATATATGTTCAAAATACAATAAATTTTGATAACAATATCAAACACGCAATTTTGACACATAATTGAAAAGTTACATTTTACTTAAAAAAAAAATGAAAAGGAATAAAAGTTTAGCAAAAGTTAGTATAAAATTTGATAAATCTGACACATTTAACTTTTATTAACTCTTGAATTTTACACTTTATCTTTACTTAAATAAATCAAATCAGAGCCAAATAGGTTTAAACCAAAAACCAAAAACCAACATTAATCTGCTTACTGTTGTTTCATATTACCAGCCAAAGCTATATATGAGACCAAGAGAGAGAAAGTGAAAAGCGTACAACTAATTGAGAACTAATTTAAAAATCAGCTAAAATAGAGTATTTAAAAAAAGAAATACCTCCAATGAGTAATAAAACTGGCCATGGTTTAGTTGTCATGCATTTCCAAACTGGAATATATCTGTTATAGTGATCATATCGAACAGCAATTTCTCGACCAACTCCGCTTACCAAATATGCAACACCGTTTATCTGTAAAGCGCAGACAATGCGACGTTATTATATAGATAAGATACTGTATTAAGACTAGTAAAAAGTCTTTATCTTTTTAGCCCAAATTCAACAAAAATTTATTGACACTTACCCCATCAGCGATTGCCATAAAACCATAAAGCACCATTTTTCGCTTTAAAAAATTGTCTGTACAAATCACAGTTAGAATGAGGCAATTTAAAATAATAACACAAGTGCCTAGAGCATCGTATAGTCGAGACTTGAAGATTAAGTGGCTAAAAGTTACACCCTCAAAATCATCGTCGATCATGACTGAAAGAAAAAAGAAAGCAGTTACCAGTTGAAAAATTATTAAAAACAGCGAACAACAAATTGAGTAAACAGTACGCATCTTTATACGCTTTTTCTCA